AAAAATTACCATAGAAGCAATCTCTAATAAGATGAATAATTTTTTTTGGTGCAAAATAAAAAAATAATACAATATAGAAGAAGAATGAGATAAATAATTTTTTATAGGAGAATTTGTTTTAAGCTCTCTGATATTAAGATTTTATAAGATAAAGAATATACAATATTTTCATAATAGTTGGAGTCCCTCAACATTTTCACATAGAAAATTTAACTCAGAGAAATTTGTACCCGACTCGGAGAAATTTCGACTTCGACACAAAAAGTTTTCAATTTTCACAGAGAAATTTTTCTGATTTCACAGAGAAATTTTGAAACTTTTATGGTATGATCACAGAGAAATTTCATCGAGGACCTTAGCTAATAAAAAAATATCTTGGACCTCTCATACTACACAAAGTTAGAGAGAAATGTTTCACTAATTTTCCCCAAAATATTATCTTTATTAGTCATTTAAACTATAGTGTTCCCTTATGTAATTGGATTATTTGACAAGATAAGGATATCCTATGAACCAGACTTATTTATCAAAAGGTTATATTTAATTTTTGGAGATAATTTATCATTGTAAAAATATTTTTTTTAAAAAATACAATTCAACTACTTCCATTTCCCACTTCATATTTCAATACAAAATAACTTAAATAAGCTAAAAATAAATCTAAACTCATATACAAAGGCTAAAATGTTCTGATCATTTACGATTTTAATAAATTTATCCGTATCATCACCAGTATCAAATGATCATTTCACAAACATAAAACACATAAAAAAAAAAAAAGTCTCAAAAAACTTTTATTATCAAAATCAATGGCAATTACATAAAAACAAATTCAAGATTTATAAATGAATAATTCCAGTCAACAGGACTTGTTGATAACTATTCCGAAATTATTTTTATAATTTCAAGGTTAAGAGAGCTAATTTTGTAAATAGTTCTTTCAGAAGACTAATAACATATATTTTATGATTTATTTTGTTAAAAAAAAGAGTTAATACTTGTAAAATAGCATACATAAATAAATAGGGACAATTACATAATAAATAAATAAATTCTTAATTTTTAATTTTGTCATTTTAAATCCCAATCTTTTGATTTATTTTCAAGTTAAACCATTCTCCTATTTTATTAAACTCAATGTAAGTATATATAAAATGTCTAAAATATCTTTTTCATTGAGTTCAATGAGTAAAATACTATTTTTTTCGTTGATTTTACTAAATGAAAATAGATAAATGGTTTAGATTGAAAACAAATAAAAAATTTAGGATTTGCTATGAGGGTCAAATCTTAGGGGTTTATTTTATTTTTATTATTATTTTTTTTTTCCAAATAAATATGTATGTTAATGTTGTGCTTACATACGTGTACAATTTGTGGGATCAATTTTAGGGGGAGTTACGGGCCGGTCCTTTGGTGTAACAATCTGTAATAGGTGACCGCTCGAGCGGTGAAAAGTTCGCTCGAGTGTAGAGATGAGACTTCTAGTATTTTCACTGTAGCTCTGGAAATTTTTTGAGACCTTGCATTTACCGCTCGAGTGGTGAAAAGTTCGCTCAAGCAGTCTCTTTGATTTGAACACTTCGCTCAAGTAGTGGAAAATTTGCTCGAGCAGTCTATTCGAGACAGCACACTTAAAAGTCGATCCAAACAATTTTTCTCTCACTTTTTCCATATCTCCTCTCTCTCTTTCTCTCTCTCACCCATTTTTGAAACCCTAGTCCCTAAACACGTGCTTGATTTCTACCAGGATCCACCTTAGATATTCAAAGAGGATTGGAGAACAAGCGTAGATCAAAAGTCCTACCAATTGTTTTCTCATTTCTTGAAGTTTGAAGCTGGGTATTCATCTTTGACCTTCAATTTTGAGGTAGGAGTACTTTTAACTCCTTATATCTTTGATTTGGGATACGTATGTGGTATTTTTATTATATCAACCTAGATATTTAGGAGTATGAAGAGTGGTGTGTTATTTAATGCGTTTGATCAGCAAGGGTCATCTCTTATGTAATACTTGAAAAGTTTATGGTTGGTGTTGATGATTATGTTATGGGTGATGAGAATTGACCTTTAAATACTTTGAAAGAGAAAAGCCCCAATTTTCTTAAAACCCTAGCTTTCAAATTTGCTCACTAAAGGGGAATTGTTTCAATTGACCTTCCAATCTTGAAATTGGATGTATTGACTTGATTATTATGTTGAGACATGAATTATTGGAAAACTTCGATCCCTAAATCTTGAGATGGTGATGGGTGTAACTCGAGAAATTCCTTAATTGGAAATGTTAAAATGTTGGATTGTTGTGAATGGAAATCACCTTAGGGAGATTGAGATTTGTAAACTCATGCATCATATACATTCATAAATTATACATGTGACTTGGAATCATTGATGTTTGGGACATGTGCAAGGGGTTAAATATCGTATGAATTCGGGTTGTGAGTCGGGTCTTGGTATGAGTTGTGCATTGTATATTGGTACCCGCGCGTGGAGTCAAGGTGCCCAATTGCTCTGTTTTGTACATATCGCCGGACGAATGTGGGAAAGATTTTAGGGTGTTCACAAGCCTGCCATTTTTAAAGTCGGCAAATGTAAACGAATGAGGTATTGGGTGCCCAACGCCCCATTGTTTTTGGAGTCGGCAAATGTGGGAGTGTATTTCTATATACTTATATGTATATATTCTGTACTTAAAATTTATGGCTCTTGTATCTGGACATCATAGTGTATTATACTCCATGATTTTTAAAAGAAATAAGTTTGTTATGAAAAATGTTAATTTGATCTTCATGGTTTTATAAAGGAATGGACATGGGTTTTCTCATCTATTGCATTGCATGATCATATGTTTCTCAATTAATTATATAATTTGCTAATGGTATTTTATATTGGGCAGTTGCTCACCCCAAAACTAACAACCTTTTAGGAAATGATGTCGGTGCGCTACCGAAGTGATTGATATTGAGAAGTAATTGTGGATGGGAGTGCGGAGGCTCCTTTTTGTGTTATGTAATAAAGTAATGGGCTACTTTTTGTGTGTGGAGTTAGAACTTCATCTTTTGTGTACTCAAGGAGAATCCTTGACAAGATATAAGCCTTTAGGACATTTTGTTTGTATCATCTCTTACATTTTGAACTATTCATTTTCATGAGTACATGTTTAAACAATGATGTAATCACACGAATAGTTCAAAGGGGAAGAGATGACTTAATATATGTATTAGATTATTTAATGCTTTGAATTATCGTCATTGGTTATAATATACTTCTATCAGTATTATGAATGGTGATGAACTATGGGGGCGTGACAAATGGACAGGACTTAATCCCCACGAGGTCCTGACTCAAAATAATTTAGCCTATCTTCCATTTTTCCTTTTACATTCAGTTGAGTAATTTTACCCTAAACCCAAAGCACAACCCTATCTTTCTCTCTCCCTCTCTCTCTTTACTATTTCTCTCACTGACACACTATCGCCTCCTCTTCGCTTGACATCTCTGTTGCTTGGTTCAACCACAGTCCTCCTCCATCGTTGTCAACACTATTCACCTCAACCACTGTCGTCGTCGTCCTCATCTCTCGCCGCTGCTGCCGCTCGCCTAACACCATCGTCTTCCTCCTTCGTTGTCATCATCGTTGCTCCTCCTTCATTATTCATCTACTATCTTCAACGCTGCAATCCTTCATTATTGATCTACCATCTTTGACATCACCGCTGCCACCATCCTCTTTCATCATTGATCTATTGTCTTCAACGTTGAACTTTACCAATGGCTTCAAATCTATGTGTTTTCAATGTCAATCTGCTATCTTCGGTGCTAATCTGGTACTATAGATAGTCATCGATGAGATCAAGACTCTCTATATAGTGTGTTGGTGAAGATTTACATTTATAAAATTTGTGTAACTGATTTGATAAGTTTGTTACTTAATTCAATGATAAATTTATGACTCAGTAATTTATGAATGATAAATTTATTAGATTATAAGTTTGTAGGTGTGAGTGTGGGTATTTTTATCAAATAGTGGGTTGAAATAGCACATCAAAATGAATAAATTTATGAATGCTTTATGATAGAATGTGGTGATGCCCCTCTCTCTCTAAAATCAAATCTATCATTTGTAAAAAATTTAACAAATTCAACAGTGATAATTTTATCACTGCAATACCGGCTGAGATTTGTTGCATAATAAATATTTCATTGAATCTGACTTTTGATTCTGTCTTGAATTGTGAATCTGAAAAATGATAAGAATTATTCTCTTGTAATGGCTCCTTATCTCTGTCATTCATTTTCTTTATCATTTTTCTTTTGTTGCCAATGGATCTGAGGAGGTAGTGGCAGTAGTAATGTGTTGAAAATGAAAAATGGCCAAAAAAATATTGTTGGAGGTCGGTGGTAGTTGTTGGAGGTCGATAATGGTCGTTAGAGATCAGTAGTAGTTGCTGGCAGTCGGAAGTGGTGGTTGGTGGCCAAATCGTGGTTTGCAATTTGGAGTTAAAAAAGAAAAAGGCGTAAAAATGAGAAGAAAAAAGACTTACAACAGGATTTATTAATACATAAAAATGTAAGTCAGGATCTAATAAGTAATAATTCTAAATAGGGGGATCGGATGACCCTTAATTTTTAAGCACTCATCCCTATCTAGTTTGAACTTGGTAACACTTCAATCTACCAAGCCCGATCCACAATTATAATTGGACTTGAAATTTATATAGCTTGGCCCAACAGGCTATATTATGACACCAAGACTTATAAATCATGTTGGGCTTGGACAGGCTTTACGGGCCATGACCCCCTACTCTTACAAACAAAAATTCCTATTCAATAGGAAAATGTTTTGGTATGCAATGCACATTATATATAATCGTGTACAAAATAACGTAAATTTTCATGATTACCCGAATTTGTATTCATTTTATACATTTTTATGAAATTACTTATATAAGTTCGTGAAAACTTATGTAATTTTGTGTAGGGTTATATACGGTGTGAACTGCACATTGAAAAAAATTTCTTCACTAGAATATATATCATGAAGTGCAGATTGTGACATTGAAAAATGATTCATCTCTCTATTTCCATCCCCAATGATGTGGCTGAGACCCACGTGAAGGCACCTACGCTCCTCTCTCTCTCTCTCTCTCTCTATATATATATATATCTTCTCTCTTCCTAACCGTGCTCTCTTTCCTCGGTCTCCAACGAGATCCGACCTCTTCTCTTCTCTCTCTCATCTCTCGCGATGATGACTACTGGCAATGACATCCGGCCACCAATCTCCTCTCGCAACTTGCCTTCCTCTCTCCTCTCGCAACCACCGACTACCATCGACGATGACGGAGATTTAGAAATTGTTGTATACATTTTGTTCTGTGGTAAGAGGGCCCTTGTTTCAACTTGTATAGTTAGTGCGCCTTTATGAATTGAGTGTTCAATTGGAATGGAATTTTTACTGACTCTTGAATGAGAAGATTTTGGCCTGAAATAGAGCAAAGGTTATTGCAGTGGCATTAAACAATGGCGTATGTTAAAAAGTAAGACGTGAAGAAAATTATCAAAAGATTATCACAGCTTAAGCATCAGCCATCACATGACTGCATATAGCTAATTGCATCACATGCCATGCTTAATAAAAAATTTAGGGCAAATTACAAAAAAAAAAAATAAATAAAATTAAAAAAAAAAATTCCAAAGTTTGACCCTATTAACAAATCAAACCCTGAAATTTTAATTTTTTCAATTTAATCATATGTGCATATACCCTTTATCTGTCTCCATCTTCCCCTTCTTCCCCTTTCTCTCTCTATTCGTTCCATCACTAGTGCACCCACCGTCTCCGCTCTTTGCTTCATCATCTTCACCTTCATCGCCAATGTACCATTGCTTTCCTCACCTACACCTCCATCTCCATAGCTCGGAAGGATGCAAGAATCATAACTCAAACACAAAATTCAAAAAATACCAATTTCAATCAGAGTATCAATCCGAAAATTTGCAGTAAATTGTAATAATACATAATCTAAAACTGAGCATAGCATAAAGGGCCACACCATTTAGAGTTTGGTCTGAGCAATTAAAGAAACCCATACCATGCACGAATACATATACACATGTATACAAGCATCAAAAGTCAAATGTAAAAGAGGTACCAAAATTATATATATATATATATATAGGGCTCACCTGATAAGAATGAGATGAGAAGAGGAAGGGATCAGAACTCAAGCTTCAGTACACTCCTCAACACTATCTATTGGACCCCTACTCCTCTCGTAGCAGCACCATCCACTCTCTATTTCTGTAGATCAACGACCATGAGTAGTGGATCTGAAGCAGGGAAATGGCAATGGGTGGTGTATTTGAGGGAGAGGTGGCAGGCAGCAGGTGGTCAATCTGAGGGTAGGAGGTGGCGACGGTTTGATCGATTTGTGGAAGAGAGTGGCAGTGGACGGCGGGAGTTGGTAAGAAGAATGGGTAGATGTGAAGAAATTATTTGAATTTTTTTTTTTACCTGTTAGAGAATGGGTCAGCAGGTCCTTTCTTTCTTCATCTTCCTTCTTTCCCTGTTTGTCTTCTGCAAATGATTTTTTTATTTTTTATTTTTATTTTTAAATTTTTGTTTAAATCAAAACTACACCGTTTCTTTGCCTATGAATTGCCCCACTAAGGAGACCAAACGGAAATGAATGGAGGGTTTACATTGTATACGGGTTTAAAGTCTAGGGTTTAAGTTGTTGAAATTAAAGCTTTAAGGTTTAATTTGCAAAACACATAGAACTCTGGTTTTTTTTTTTTTTTATGTAATTACAATACAATTACAGTGTATTCCAACTACCTACCAACATCAGCTATAATTAAATGCTATCAAAGACTATGGCCCTGTTTGGTAGAGTTGTGGGAAAGTGCTTATAGCTTATGACTAAATAGCTTATAGTTTATAACTATGAACATAAGCTGATTTCTGACTTATAAATTAAGCATCTCCTGCTCCACTCAAAGAATAAGCTGATTTCTGACTTTCAAAAAGCTATAAGCTAAACCAAACACATCAAAATAGCTTAAATTAAGCTGAAAGCTGAAATAAGCAGCTTTTAAGCTGCACCAAACAGGCACTATGCCTTCTCAAATATTAATTTTTTTTTTCCAATTTAATAGTTGGATAGTGAGAAAAACAAAGAGCTAAAGAGCGAGAAAAATTGGAGATCGAGCTACGTCGGAGGAGGGGACATGCTGGAAAGGGTGAGACTCACCGGAGAGGGAGAGAATCTCAGCATTTTTTCCTTCTCCGTGAGAGAGAGAGAACCTGAGCCTGAGCAAGCATTTTTTTTTTAAATTTGTTTTTTAATTTTTTTTGTAAGAATTGCGTGAAACACATGCACTTCTTTTGCAACTAAGATATAAACTTTCCTTTTTCATCCATAGCATTGGGGTGAAATTGGGGGCTCAATTAGGGAATGTAGTGGGATTGTATATATCATGAAGTGCATATTGTGACATTGAAAAATGATTTGTCTCCTTAATTCCACACTCTAATTTTACCCAAATCAAACCCTCCTATCTCTCTCTCACTATTATTACATTAGTAGCCATAGCTGAATTATTTTATTATATATATATATTAGTATATGGCTGTGCCTAAAGGCATGGTGGAATTCTTTTATTTTATTATATATATATATATATTAGAATCACTGTTATTTTTACCCAGGTTGTCAATCCTTCTTGTTCTAATTGTGGAGGTTGGCCTCATTCGAATTCGACTGAAATTCAAAAAGAATATAATCTCAATGATTGCAATATTAACAAACCATGTTAACTATTGATAGGTAATGTTTAAAAAGAAAGGCATGAAAAGAAAAATCGTGCACTGCCACTCAACCCCATTGTGCAAAATTAAAAAGTGTATCAAAGCCCAAAGTCTAGCAAGAAAAATGTATCAATTAGTTAAATAAAATGAATGATTAGAAAACTCATGAACATATTACACTTAAGTCTCAGCAATTACAATATTAGTTAGTTACAACACTCATTTCACTTTCCTAAACTTAAGTCTCACACTCTTCATACTACACTCCTCTCTTGCTAAAGCTTAGTTAATAAACCAATCACAAGAAAGAGAAAGAGAAAAAAAAAAAAAAAAGCAAACAAACAAACTAAACCTTAATCAACAAAACCAGCTCTCTTTGGGCAATCAACTAACCCTCCAATCTAGCATTTATGTCTATGGATTACAACAATCTCAAAACATCAAGCACTATTTATAATAATTGCAAAAGCAAAAATCATCAAGCACTAATTGAAAGTTCTAAACACATTATTAGATTCTAGCCCTTAAACACATCATTAAGCACTAATGTTTGTAAATGCCTCCCTCCATCATCAAGCACTAATAATTCAGCAAGTATATTTAATTTCTAACATTGAGCATGTTAGTCTTTTAGAGACATGAAATTTAGCACTTAGGTAGATAACTTTTCAAGAAGCAATTTGTCTCACATTATTTTATTCATTTATCTGCACTTTTTGCCTCCCTCTATCTCTACTCCCCTTTATCCCACACCCAAACACCCTTTCTCTCTTTTAATCTATGTAGCAAATTCCCTCTTTCTCTACTCCCCCTCATCCCACACCCACACACCCTCTTTGTTTTTCAATCTATTTAGCAAATATTTTATGCACAAAGACACATGTGGCTTCCACCAGGGAAACTACAATATATCAAAAAAATGTTTAACAGAAACACATCCATATAGAGGGAAAAAGAGAGATTTACTGACCAAGAAAAAGGCTCTTTCTTTGATAACCTTCATGGATATCTTTGGCACCACAATGCAAGGAGCGTCCATTTCAAAAATCTTCAAACCACAATCTCAAAAGAAAGATTCACGAACTCACAACTAAGATCCAATTGAGAGCATTCAAACAATTTAGAAGTAATACAAACAAAAAACAAAAACTGCTAATTTTTTTGGTCTTTTTCAAAAACAATAAATAATAATAAAAATAATTAGCGAAGAGAACATCATCCAAAAAATAGATAAATTCATAAACTCAACCCAGTCAAGCAAAAGGGAACTTTTTCCTCACCCCTAGTCAAAAGTTTAGCAAAGGGGAACTTTTTCTATAGCGATCCAGGTCTTTGACCCGTCCTTGTGGTGTTCTGGACTCGGATTTCATGGTTAGAAAGTATTATCTACGTCTTTTCTACCTTCCACTCTTTGAGTTTGAGTTTTGGGATGTCTTGGAAGTGTTTGGAACTGGTTAGTTGCAAGTTGTTCAAACTTTTGTCGTCCAGAATTTTGGCTCTTCGCTCGAACGAGGCTTCCTGCACTCGAGCGAGCTTTGTGAGCTCCCAGTACTTTTGCAAAAAAGAGTCCTTTGCTCGAGCGAAACTTCTTGCGCTCGAGCGAGGAGTGCGTCTAAAAAACTTCTGAAGCTTGGTATTTTACGCTCGAGCGATGCTTCTTGCGCTCGAGCGAGGCGACCTGTTTGTGTCTGGTCGCTCGAGTGAGCTTGTCATATATCAGTTCACAACAGCGCCATTTTGTTTCATTTTTCTAATCCCTTTTCACTCAAAAACCCTAAATCAGCTCATTCTCTCTCTAGGGTTCGACTTCTCTCTACAAGTACACCTAGATCTAAGGATCTCTTTACCCTAGGGTGGGAAAAGGGTAGAGGGTTGCAAGAGCTTCATTTTGATTCAAGAAGAAATTGGTTTCGTCATCTTTGAAGTTCCACCTTGTTGCTTAGGTTTTCTACACTTGAGGTAGGGATTTTCTTTGAGTTATATATATATATATATATATTGGTAAGATCTAGATGATTTTCGAAATTATCCTTTGATAGCTTTTGAAAAAATTGATTGTTGATTCAAGAAAAAGAGTGATTTTGAAAGTGGGTTTACCACTTGATTCTTTTAAAATAGAAATTCAGGGTTTTGAATTATATTGATTAAAGAAAGATGTTTTTGGTGAGATTTCTTCAAATGTTTTGGAGATGAATGGTTTTGGTAAGAAAACCTAGAAAATAGAAGTTTTAAAAAGATGTTGAGAAATCATGGATGATATTTTTATATTTATTTTGTATGTCAAAATAAATGGATGTTGGAAAATTTCTTATTTATATTTATATAAATGATGAATTTCATGGAGTATGAGAATTGTTGTTCATTTTGAAAATTGTTGTTCAAAATGTTGATCTAGTCTCGAAATGACTAATTATTGAGGATACTTGAGAATAGGGAATTGTGTTATTCCTTAGATGATGAAGTGGAATAAAATTATTTATATTCATCTTGTGAAATAGTAAAGAATTGAAAATGGAAGAATTGTTGCATTGCATTAATCATTGTTGCATTGGCATACCAATTCATTTGATTGTCTTAAACCTTGAAAGTTGCTTTGAAAACTTGCATTGAGAAAAGAATGTTAAGAAAAACAAGTTTTCATGGAATGGTTTTGGGGTAAATACGTTAGTAAGTCTTGAAAGGTAGTGTAGATGAAATTGATAAGTTGGCCTAAGTGTCCGAGGTGAAAGACCGAAAAGCCGCGCCGATAGGTGTCGAGCCTTCTGGTTAGTACCGGTAAAAATGATAAATTGGTAGTTCTTGTATGGTCTACTTGAAGACACCGACCTAGAGATTACTAGAGTTGTATTTACCGCCCCCCTTTAAACGAAATGGTTAAATGTTGAACAATTGAAATTGCATGGCATCATTGAGTATAATGGTTTTCAAAAGATGAAGATGTGTTCTACTTTCAAAAAGACATGGCATGGCATGTGCATTAATCTCTTGTGACTTGTATAAAATGTATATACTTTGTTAAGAATTTCCTACTGGGCTTTATGCTCACCCTATGAGATTTTTGTGCACGAAAAGATGTGGTGATTCCGCCTAACTGAAGGCGTGAAAGTGTGTGCTGAGAGCATAATGTTCTCATTTGCGGTGACTCTGATTGTAAGCCAAGGGCTTTGTATGTGTGGGTTTCAATAACCGTTTATGCAACCAGGCTCAAGCCTTGGAAACTTGTAAACCCTTGGGGGTATTTTTTGTTTATTTAATTGTTGTTAGATTGAATGTATTATCACCTGAAGACTATTTGTATCATGTAATGCAAGTGTGAGATTTATTTTTAGTTTTACTTTAAAGAACCATGGTTATCGTATTATCATTTGGGTATAAAAATTGGGGCGTTACAACTTGGTATCAGAGTTACTGGATTTGAATACTTGGAGCTCGTGGGAAGTGGTTGTTTAACCACAATGGGTTCATTTAGCATGTTTAGGAAGTGTTATGCATTTTGTGACTATTTGATAACATGCTTATGTGACTAAACGGGCATGGGATTGGACTTTTGGGATGTTGTTTGCGCTTGTTAAATTCTTTGAGGTCTCATTAGAAGGGTACTTGATCAATACTCGTTCTACTAAGAATTCTTGATTTTTCGTGGGATAGATTTCATTGTAAAAGAATAGTCTATATGTGTTTACATGACTAAGTGCTTACGTAGAGTGAAATTGAATTGTGTATATGGTAGAGA